GAACTTCTCAGCAGTGTGGATTTTCGATATTTGGCATTATTTGCGAAAGGAGGGCCAGGTTGGAGGCACAGTATGTGAGATGAGGATGAGATTCGAGCATCAGATGATAGTGTAGGGTCTACTTCAAGCAGTAACCCGTATATGCTGTATGTGGATGGTGGGCTTGCTAGGCTTTTAGCCACTGACCTGTGCCCATCACTTGGTAGTTATCCCAAGTAGTGCGTATGCAACAAAAATGTAATAAGTAATAAGCTCTGTAGAGCTTACCTCCACTCCTCGTGAATGGTAATGACCCTGTTCTCTGGGATATGAGATCCACCCATGTACGAGGCACTCCTTCGTCTCAAACGCCGCAATTTTTTCTGGCTTTCTTTTGTGTATTTTTTGTTTGTTTTCATCAACAGGACAAGTATGCAAAAAAAGACTGAAAAAAGTACCTGCTTCCTTCGGAAACTTTTAGCGCGCCTCGTCGTGTGCGTCACCGCGGCCTTGCCAAATAATGCGCTCCATACCCCTCAAAATAGAATGATTCCTGACCTCTATAGCCCAGTACATTGAATAATACTTAATGCCTCCTTGAATAAGTCCCAAACTTTCTCATTTTCTGCCGTCACTTAGTTCTATTAGTTTACGGTTCACTTCTCCTCTCAATGGTGGCATACAAAGTAAAATATCCAGTAAATAAGTCAAACATCTATAATTCATCTTCTACTACAACCTTTTGGTAGACGATCTAGAAACCGGCACGATCGGGGAGAGTTCCGATTGAGTCCGTCCACTCGAACGATAGCTATTCCAATCGGAAACAAATTTTCAAACTGGAATCTAAAGAATTTCATCGGAGTGCTCACAGTTCCAGTTCCGACAATGTCATACACATGTAATTATTGCGCATTCAGTTCATTGGAACGGTAGAGGACCTTTGAAAAAGTGCTAGCCTATTTTTATTGATCACTCACATTAGCCACTGAGCTAATATTTCCTAAGATTGAATCACATACCATGGAAAAGTCATTAAAAACTGTCCTAGGCAGCTTATAAGCTCGAGGGGCCATGGCAGATCATCCGTGGTGTGACTCTTGTGAGAAATGGAATCCCAGTTTCTAGTTTTCCATTTCCAAAGAAAAGGGCACATCCTTGGTTGGGGATTTTAGTCGAGTCTGTACGACCCCTCCTTTTTTGGGGTTTGGTAAAAAGTCATCCACCTACAACGCCAAAACGTAAATACGGACCCCCCTCCCCAACCAAGTGCCGAAATTCGACCCCCTCCCCAATGGAGCCACCCCCAAACAACGATTGTGCCCTGCCAAAGAACATCCGGCTGAATGAGCCGTATCATCACAATCAGCGTATCGTTAAGTATATCTACGACACAGGCATTAATCTAATAAAGTCAAATATTTACGTTTTGCCTATTGGCTTTTCCACCAACCGTATTATCGAATTAGAACTAAAAATAATAGAAAATGCTGCCAAGAATAGTCCCCTGCGCCAAATCATAGGTTTCTCCCAAATTAGCTTTCTCGTAGTTTCATGGTTACAATCTCACAGCGCCCGCTTTATAAATGTGTAGTTGCAAGTGGGCGGCCTTATCTTCGCATACGCCAAGCCATCAACATTCGGTCCAATCCCAGTTAATAGCCCACTAACAATAATTAAAACAGAAGTAGAGCTCGTCTCGCATCCAAAAGAGAACATCACGAGTGGCGAAGACTCTACCTCTCTCACCCTTTCTACACTTATGTCGTACTGTTCCGATTAAATAGAGATGCTTCTGATCCCTCCTGTGGAGACCTCTTATGAAGCTATGCAATAGTCCGAGCTTATTTTACACTTGACAAGAATCTACAGGTTTCACCAGGTGAAAACTGAAACTAGCAAAAGGGATCAGCGGAAGTGAAAGATGCCCCCTCCCTCCTAAGCCGAACAGCACCCTATTCTAAATACATTTTTTGAGCTTGAATTTTAATGGATGCCAATCGAATGGTGAAGTAGTCCTAGACTCAGTGACGGGCACGTCGTTCGTTGAGGATTCATAAGGGGGGTCATATTTGCCTTCGAGGGAAATGTGTTTGATTGCTGACATGTCTTGGTTTTCCTGTTTCAAGTGCGCTATTACCCTCTTCTTCCCCCCCCCTCCCGGCCCATCGCTCACACAATGGCACTTTTCTAGGAGAAAAGTGGAAGAGTTCTCGAAAAAAAGGTGCGGAACAGAGGTAGGAAGCTGAGAAATCTCAGAAAAATTGTAGGTTCGATGGGTCGGGTATGGGGAAGGGGGTCGCACCATAGGGGGATTTTGGAGTAGGTCACATTTCTCAGAGAATTTCCTTGATTTTCTTCCCTTTATTCCCCTGAACCCCTTTAATTTCTCCCAAAATTGTCAGCTCAGAAATTACTGCTATTACTCCTATCCGGCTGTTGCCTGCTTTTGCTCCTTGAAAAGCGCATTCAAACT